TTTCATATGCTGCCGGGCAAAGCTGAGAGTACCGGTACCTTGAAGATCATAACGCCTATGAAGCTATACATAATATGGATCAATTTCATTCAAATTGTTTATCGACTGAATTGATCGGTGTGAATTGAATCGGCATTCGTGGAATCAGCAAAGGACATTAATGGTGAACAACATTACCACTAATGAATGGGAACGAATGTATATGTTTAACTGAACACTCATTGACCAAATGAAAACACAAATTAACAAGTTGGCACATTTATGAAACCAGTAGAAATTTCTTCAGAGAATGATATATGAAGTGACTAAGACTTCGGTTTGCATTCGGCAACGATATCGACGGGCATGAACTCCTTTGAGCGTTTTTCGAAGCGTGATATCGGGCAAAATTCGCTATCTGTTGGACAGCCGGGCGTTAATGAAGTGATTGGATGGAATTTGAGACGATAAGCACAACGAAAGAGGATCTGAAAACAACAAAAATTCATTCTGAAAGCATCTAAAGTAGCAGAAGCGTTGAACGGTTGGGCTGAGCGGAATGAAGAAATACCTTCACAGCTGGTCCAGTGTCAGTCATCCAAAGTTCGATAGCCACAGAAGCCGTGTATTTGGGCATTTTACCTTTCAGCACTTCTTCCTCGTTGCCAAGAGTGGCTAGCAACGCTGACACCGTTGTATCATGCTGAAAAGTGCTCCCAACATCGTTTCAACTGAACTGTCATAAGTACAATCTTCCATTAGAACTTAAATTTAAAAAAAAANAAAAAAAAACAATTGAACATCAGTTGGTTGAACATCTGCACACATTAATCATCAGAAATTTTCAGTTCGTTTCACTCATTGAAACACATCAATTTGACCAGAAATTTGATCTTGCAAACAACGTGTGATGTTCTCAAATCATAACATTAAAAGACTGATAGTCAAGACTGTTTCTTCAAGCAAATTTCTCGATGCACGTACAGCTGAATAAGCGTAATACTTCAGCGGTCGCATCCAATCACAGCTTGGGTCAACCTGGTGATCCGCTGCGGCGCATCGAATTTTTTCATTCATTTTCTCCACAATCGCTTTCAGCAGAGAACCTGAAATTGAAAAAAAGTAATGGAAAAAATTTTTTGAATTCAACATCCGATAGTTTTGAAGCAAACCTCCACGTAATTTGATCATTTCTGGCACACGCGGTTCCAATAATCCGTACACGGATTTATAAGAAACTTCGGTAAGATTCAATATCTTTGCGGCAACTTCATCCGTTAACCATTCCGGTTGTGACAAATTGTACTGTTTCTGCAAGCGAGAAGACGTTCGATACCCAGCAATTCTGATACAATGCCATCTTTTTCTGATGAACAGTGAAAAACGACCACACTGATAGCGAGGATGTAAAGAGAATGTGAATGTAAAGAATATAAAGAGTACCTCGATTATGTGTACATCGTGGATCCTAAAGACGTTTTCGAGTCCAACGTGCATGCCGGTTTTTTTGGTAAGGAACTCGAAGAATTTCTGAACGACGAATTTATTCGTGAAGAAGAATTAGAAGCAGCAAAAAACGATCTCAGTCAATTGACGAAATGTTACGCTGAGAGCGATTAAGCTTGAAAATAGTGAAGAATACTGTAGCTTGTGGCATTCCACAATGAGATTTCTCATTATGTCTAGCCAGTAATTACGAATGCTTGCATCGGTTCATACCAAGAAATCTACAGTAGATCAAACAATCACCACTAACCTCATTATCCGTCGCATATTTTTGGAACAATTTACTTGAACGAATTTGTTTTCCCAGTTGTGATGCACGCTCACATTTTGCGAATGCGTTACCGATCTGCAATTTAAACGCGGAGAAACAATTTTATTTGTTTGCGGTGAAATCAAAGAGAAAGTTTTCAAATACACGGCCTTCTGTTACTGAAATTGTACCTCACTAAATTACAGTCGAAAACGATGGTCACTTGATATCATCGTATTGACGTGACAATCTTGAATTTCACATCATTTGTTGCGAAAACCTCAATCTCAGTTTATGTGGTGCGGTGAAACAAGCCTTACGTGGTCTGTTTCGTATTTGACGGTATGCACAGGTATTGGAGTCCAGTGAGCTGGCCAGTCACCTTTTGCCGCATCTGGATAGTCTTCTCCGATAATACCGTTAGGGTACATTCCAGCCAGATTAGCCATCGCACTCACCAAAGTTCGATTAACGTCTGTACTACGAACATATATCTGCAGTTGACAATATTTGCTCGTTAGAACTGTTTTGAATTTTTTCATTTCAAAATGCTGTTCCCTATGAAATGAAGCACTTCAGTAGTGGACAGTCCAATGCTCATCACTTCATTTGAAACTTCTGATCGAACTTTTGATTGAAATAAATGGGAGTTTTCTATTCTTGAACATTATGAGTTAACATCGTTGGATCCGGTCGATCGATATAAAACTGAATACAGATAATTTTTCCTGCACTTTTTAGGCAGAAACTGCAAATTCGCTAACACTTTCATACAGTTTGCACAAACACCAACTGGTCACTTGAAAATGATTCCATGTTACTAGTTGAAAGTTGTCGGTGATCAAAAATGGGATGCAGAACTACCCGTTACTATAAAATCATCGAGTGGTTTAACAAACGAGCAGACGAATCTTATTCTTAGCAAAAATTCCATATGTGATACATAATAGATTGCAAAGAGCTTTAAAATCTAGGAAGTGGCCACGAACTTCTTCTGCTTCATAAGTTGGAGATAACAATGGATGCTGTACACTGTCGATGTATCGCTCTCGAATAAGACGGCCCAAAGAATACTGCTGTCTCATACCAATCTGAACAAAAGCGGATGCATGTCGTTGGTTGGTCACCCCAGAAAGAATACAGTTCCAGTCATTCTCAATCAAATGTTTCATGACAGTCATCATCGTAGAGGTGAATTTGAGGGTGCCAGGATGGGAATTTGGGTGGTTGGCGAATCATTATTCAGTGATTTCTTCAATTATTTTTCCATGGCCGTCCAATCATATTTTTAAAATGTGCCACTAAAAATAAGGAGTTGATTCCACTGATACAATCGATAAATTTTTCATCAGATTTTTTGATGAATTTATTATTGTACTGATTTTGCTCTAATTTTTTGCTAATGCAGATAATTTTTCTTGTACTTCTCAGACAAAAACTGCAAATTCGCTAACAGCAACATGCAATCTTTTTATCTATTCTTAAGGAGTGTCAGATTGTCAGAGGATGCAGTGGAGGATGGAACTACGGTCAACTGGATTGTGCCGGAGGGGGAAATGGTGGTCCAAGGACAAATTGTTCGCGAGAACAATTTCTAAAATTGCGATTCTGGGAGATAATATCGCAATATGAATATTACTCATGAGGTATTACGAACCTCGGTCAATTCACCGAATCCATTGGGCCATGCATTCTCCTGATGCTTATCAGTTGGATAAGTTTGCTCTGGTGCGCGATCACCATGGCGCCATACCTTAACAAACCAGACTCGATTTCGTTGATTTTCACGACATTTTGATCGAAACGAATGGAAATTTTCCATGCATGAGTATTATTAGTGAACATGGTCAGATCCGGTCGATGGATGTATTATAAAACTGTAAACAGATAAATTTTCGCGCATTTAGGTAAACTCTGCAAATTCGTTAACAGTAACATACGGTTTGCACAAACATCAACTGGTCGCTGGCCATTACCATATTTGAGCCATCGTAACCCAATCCAAGTAGGAGTATTTTGATGACGAAGCAGAATGCGGAGGTAATCTCCATCTGATTGGGTAGTGTGTCTGTAAACGAACTAATATTGCGAATATTCATCCGTTTCGCATGCTCACGTGTACTCATTCTGATCACTTTGCTATTCATATCTATTCACATTACCAACTATCTGAGGATGAAAACGCGCATAATCAACTCATTATTATCAGTTGTTTTCATACGGTGATAGACGACAGATTCCACATAACTGTACCGTATTCACTCCAATTTAGTAATTAAAAATTTTGTTGTGGATGTAAGATATCAGTAGTTGTTTGTATCTTCAATGATCACCGATTGTTTGTCTCTTCAACATCACTAAGCATTAGGCAAAAACAGAATGATCCCGAAGGAAAGGTGATAATTTCATCAATTAAATAGATAAACGTGAGAAATTTTAGACCCCATTCAGCAAAACTTTTCGAAGCTTCTTATGCTCTCTGTAGGCGTATTATTGATCTGTTTTGATTCGTATGCAGTTGATGAAATTTGGACCGACAATTTCTGTGGGACATTTCCATTCATAAGCTCGAGAACATGCNTTGTCCCCATATGAGGGCATTCGGCACAAATGTGCAATGATATCGGATGCCCGAGTGGGAGGACAAGCGAAAATGTAAGTATCGAAGAAACCCGACGAGAATGACCTATCATATTTTGCCTCAGACAACTGCCCCTTTCCTGTAGCAGATGCCGTTGATTGAAAATGTTCCTTCGAGAAACATTAAGAAGCTAGATTCTCATTAGTTGCAGATGCAAGATATCACTACTTGTTTGTCTCTTCGATGATCACCGATGTGCACGAATGACTTCATTAATGCTTGTTACCTTCATATGAAGACACCTTTTGTTTTTGTTGAATATATTCATATGCCACTTTATGCAATAGCAATTGCTTAAAGTGGCATATGAATGTATTCAACAAAAGTAAGAGTACTGTATCAATGTACTGTATCAATATTAACATAATATTAACTGTATCAATGTACTGTATTAATGTAATTGTGAATGTGTTCAACAAAAATAAGAGTACTGTATCAATGTACTGTATCATTATTAACAGATCAGTAATACGCATTAACGCATGAATGTATTAATGCTTACATTCACGTATTCTTCATTTATTCACACTCTTCGTTCGTACCTTCTCCATTGGAATCATTAGGCAACATGGGAGAGTAGCTCAAAACCATTGTGATCACCAAATATATCAATAATCAAAATAAGAATTTCATGAGGACTGATGATTCCGAACACTATTGTTGCTAGCTGTGTAGAAGGAAGGATACCAGCGAAGGAAGAGTGTGATATTTGTGATATTGGTAATAAAAGGGAGGCATAAACTCGTGATGAGTTGCAATTGCTGATCAAATAAATAAATAAACATCCAAATTATATAGCGCCACCTATTGTTAGTGGAATAGATGTTTCAAAGATTTGTTTTAAGTTACGCATTCAAGACATGTGTACGAAACCGTTTGTTTAGGAAAACTCCGAGGTTTTTAGTGATTATCGAAACAAGAATATTCTTATGAAAATTCCTACACTCGATTTCCTATTCATCAGGTCGATTCCGATTATTTTTATTTTTCGGTATTCTCTACTTCTTCACGACCAATTCTAATAACGATTCATTGTAAAAAGAAGAAAAGTACTCAGTATATTGTAAGGGTATTTCATCGTAAGTCGGATGCCTTCCGGTAGAGCGTTCACCACAAACGTAACTTTTAATTACACAAATACTAACAGCAATAGTAATCACACAATCAACGAAGTACACTCGAAACAGTATCGATCAAACAGTATTAATCTATCAATCAAACATTATCAATTCATCGAATTACTTAGAGATTTATGATAACAAACAAGAAAGGATGAATGACACCAGATTACGTGAGACAAATACTATAGGAAAAATGAGTGATATCAGATTAGATAAGACAAAGGCGATAATAAATGACGTGAGATATTAAAAACAAAAATAATATGTTTTCAATATATTCAGAAATACGATGTAACAATTTGAAAATGAACAAATATTGCATATCAAAGGTGAATCACAACTTCCGTGAATATCTCTATTCACGACACTCAGCATTCGGAACAAAGTTAAGAAATATTGCCGAAAATCTTACAATATATGAAAGAGACGAACGACTGATTTTGGCCGTCGTGGACTGGACGGCAAAAATTTGAGAACTGTTGAAAACGAACTAAATCCCTTTATGCCAAATCAATCAAAATATTTATCGTCATAACATATCCATTTTCAGGTAACCTTGATATTGGCTTAGCCGATTTTGAATTTTCTCTGCTCTGAAAGGTTCTCCTCGCCTTGCGATCTCATAAAATAATTCATCATTTATTCTCATCTTTTCACTATATTTGTCGCATTTTTTTCTCATTTTCTCTCTATTTTTTCATCGCTTTGATTCTTCTTTATTTGGTAATTGTTTTGTTCACGATGAATTCACGACAATATAGTCGCACCGAAGGCAAACAAAAGGCGTGAAATTTATTTTATAATATTTCATTTTATAAACTAATACCATATTCTTCTTGCATTAACTTATCTTTTTGTTTGCTTGGATCCCAATAATGACGCTTTGTTAGACAAAAATATCTAAACAAAACTATTTTCATGAAAATTTCACGAAAAAATCATGGCATTGCGCATTAGAAAGTACATATTATTGTTTGTTCAACAAGTCGGTATTATTCACTTAGATATTGCAGTCAATCCATCAGAATAAGAGAATAGTCATCCCATGAAAAACCATGATATCTCAAAATAGTCAACTCATGAAAATTTTGCTGAAATGAGTGGTTGTTTTCTTTAATAATCGTAGCTTTGCCAACCGAGGGATCGCCATACCGATCGGGTAATAACCAAACACTTGTATTTGCTCATCCATTCCTATAATGCTCAAATTCATTGCAGTGTTNTTCTCCCGGAACTTTCAAAAATCTTCATTCATGGTGATTTCGGAACTATACGCTTATTCTGATGGATTGACTGCAGTATCTAAGTGAATAATAATACCGACTTGTTGAACAAACAATAATGTGTACTTTCTAATGCGCAATGTTATGATTTCATGAAATATTCATGAAAACAGTTTTGTCAGATATCTTTTTCTAACAAAGCGTCATTATTGGGATCCAAGCAAACAAAAAGATAAGTTAATGCAAGAAGAATATGGTATTAGTTTATAAAATGAAATATTATAAAATAAATTTCACGCCTTTTGTTTGCCTTCGGTGCGACTATATTGTCGTGAATTGAACAAAACAATTACCAAATAAAGAAGAATCAAAGCGATGAAAAAATAGAGAGAAAATGAGAAAAAAAGCGGCAAATATAGTGAGAAGATGAGAATAAATGATGAATGATTTTATGAGATCACAAGGCGAGGAGAACCTTTCAGAGCAAAGAAATTTCAAAATCAGCTATATCAACGTAACCTGAAAATGGATATTTTACGACTGCAAATATTTTGATTGATCTTGCACATAAAGGCTTAGTTCGTTCACAATACATCATTCGGTTTTTAACAGTTCTCAAATTATTGCCGTCCAGTCCACGAAGGCTACAATCAGTCATCCGTCTCTTTCATATTCCGTAAGATTTCTGGCAATATTTGTTAACTTTCTTCCGAACTACGGATAAGTTATACTTTTTAGCATGAATCATTACTGTTTAATATAGATTTAGTCATGAACAAGTAGAGAATATCGAATAATAAATAATTATCAGAATCAATACGATAAATCGGAAATCGTGTGTAGGAATTTTTATAAGAATACTCAGTACCGATAATTACAAGAAACCTCAGAATTTTCATACGGTTTCGTGCGCATGTCTTGAATGCGCAAATTAGAAGAAATCTTTGAAACATCCCTTCCACTGAGTGGCGCTACATGATGATTTGGATGGTATTGAAGATTATGACTATCCTGGTATCTTTCAAGCTTTTCCGAGCGTAATTTTGAATTTCAGATTTCAGAGAAGCAGTTTCAAGAGGACCATGTTAGCAAAGTGTTTTGCGATTGTGATCTTCTTGCTGCTTGCAGCAGCATATGATACGGAAGCTGCACCGGCCGCGAAAGTGCAAATGATGCATTGTGCAAGAATATGCCAGAATATCTATCGTTTCAAAATGATATGACTCCAAAACTGTTGCGGCTTGTCCACAATGACTTGCTAAAACTAGGCTGGCTTCAGTGCATCGGTTGAACCAGATGAAGCCTATTCAGCAACACGAATTCGTTACTTTGCAACAAACGATCGACAACGCAACTTTTTATCCATTGTAGTAATTATATCTGAAATCTCTTCAGCTTTTTTTGGAAATATAGTATTTTATTTATATCCAAATGCAACATTCCCTCTGAAATAAATAAATATGTCTTAGTCTTATCTGACTATCTTATCTGATTGTCACCACAGACTACTAATCTCGTTCTACAGAAATCTACGCGACCGTAAACCTTCCTTCCTCTGGCAATCTATTATTTATGGACAAATGAGAAAAATATCAGGAAATCGATTGATTAATTGAGAGTTTGCTGTCAAGTTGGTCAGTGATATCAAAGTAATCATTGAATGCAGTGATTGATAGTGATAAAGATGATAAAGTATTGATAAAGATGATAATGATAAATAATGATGATGAATATTAAATAAAAGTAATGATAAAGATGCAATGCATTGAAATGAGCACTACAGCAAGTGAGATACC